GGCTCCCAATTTATCGGTACCTAATTGATTGAGCGTTACTCGGTCTAGAGCCGAAAGCCAAATAAATATGAAAACCCAACATGGCGATGTCGTCGCTTTACCTTTGCAGCCGCGAAAATATCCTTGACGGATTGTGAGATTTCTGGTCCGATACCATCACCCTCGATCAATGTGACTGTATATTTCCCCTAAGCAGAGTGGGATTCTCAGCTTCTGATTTACACACCCAATAGCTCGTTTATTTCGACTGAAGGGGAAGGACTAGTATACATCAGGGCCCTTGGTTCCGGGAAATTTAGCTACTTTTTCGGCAGCAGCCACAGCGTAACACCGAATCTATATTATGTACACAGATTAGCCTATTTATAATCATCAAAGTGCCATAAGATGTAGATTTGCGACTGGAGACAAAAATTCCTCACATTCAACGGGAACTTGCGGGATAATGGGGCGACCGGCGTTCGTAAGCAATGCCGTGCGGGAACCAAGACACGTAGGGAATTCATTGCAATGGTCGGTCTGTCTATGGAGGCCGGCAAGGCTCTAGTAGTAATAAGCAATTGAGGTCGTTTAAAGTGAGAACGAGTAGTAATGAGTTAGAATGAAGGAAGGGAGAGTTGTTATCCACTCCGCCAGCGCCCCCACCCAGAATATATTTTTTAAATTTGGATAAGCATTCGCGAGTGTTTGCTCTGTTTGCTCAGCTCCACCCAAACTGTTCAAATGGTGGAGCACCTATAGAGAGCAATTCTACCAACAATGAAAAAGATACAGGGAGCTTTCGAGCACGGCGATTATTTGGCAGTATTCGTGGACCGGCTGAAGAGTACTACCATTTCCGGAGTTCCTTGCTTGTCTTCTTGTGTCTCTGGTTCCTACTGAGGCCGATCTCGCTCTGATGCCCAACCCCCTATTATGGCTTCCTATGATACCGACGTTACCCAGTATTATAACATCCCTTCACTTTACCCTGAAGAGTGGCCAGCAGAACTGAATGAAAGTGATGATTCTGATGGCGAAGACCCCTTGTCGTCTGGTCCCTCCACCTCAGCCTCCCAACGACGAAAATCGAGATATGCTGCCCTCCAAAGGGGTGGGAGCGACCGCAGGAGCATAGTGCCGGGATCTCAACGGACTGGAGATGGAAGGGATAACTTGGTTCAAAAAGACGAGCCAGATCCTTTGGGATCTTCTGATAGCGTGGTTAGGATGTTGAAACAACGTGGTATCGCTGATGATGATGCCCGCGTTCGAAACCGTTACCTGCTCTCCTCAACAACCTTCTCACCTGCGCTCTTCCTCTCTCAAACCCACTCCTCAGATTCTATCCAGTCCCTTCTCGAAGGCCTGGAGTTTTTATCTAGATCTATTGATCAGAAATCTGCGTCTTTGAAGGTTTTGGTTGAGTCAAATTTTGAACGCTTTGTCCGAGCGAAGGCGACGATCGACAATGTTTATACGGAAATGCGAAACCAAGGCGCGCAGCCTGATGCCCATCCTCAAGGGTGGCTTTCTCAAAGAACCAGTGTATCCGGTTCTCACATGAAAGGATCTAGTATAGGAGTTACTGAACGCTCAATTCCACAGAAAAACTCCCTTACAAAGGAAAGTGAATATGGTGTCAAGGGCATACGCGTACCTTTAGCGGAGGCTTTAGGGAAAGTAGAAGAGGTGTGGGGCGCAGCGCTTGGGGGTCGACAGCGAGAAGAGGGTTTGAAAGCCATTATTGAGGCTATGTCAACACACCGTGAGATATATGAAATTGGATCTAATCTCGTGCAATCGATCAAACAGCGAGATTACGAGGCAGTCGTCGATCAATATACACGCGCTAGAAGACACGCAATAGACGCACGACTCATTGCTGACCGTGCTACAGCTTCGAAGCGCCCTTTATCAGACGAACAAGTTCACTTAATCCTTGTTACAGGTAGAATGTGGATGGATGTTGAAAAGCAAATACAAGTGTTTAAGCGGGATTTGTGGCGACGTTTAAGCACTATCCAGGCAAATACCCCCACGATGAGCGTCGATGGTGGTCCCATCGAGGAGCACATGGAACTGATTACAACATTACTTGAACTTGGTGTTGATGATAACCCAGTCTGGGTCTGGCTCCTCGGACGGTATGATTTTTTGAAAACTAAAATTATGGCCTTCTGTGACCGCTCGAAAGTCGAAATTGAAATTCTCCGACGACGTCTAGCCAATGGGGATAAACCCACTCCTCAAGCTGTCGCGCCGTACATTCAGCGGACTAACCGTGATGGTGTCGCAAATTCCAAAGATCCACTCGATACTGAGCTTGTTGTCGAACTATGGGAGTGCGTACATGCATATCTGAAAAAACTATTATCACCTGAAGGTGGCCTCCTTGGAGACGTCATCGAGTTTTGGGACACCACACAATCTTTCATCGACGGCAGTAAGCAGAAGCTCCTCCCAGCAGGGTTCGAGGGTGAAAGCCGAAAGCACCACCGACTCTCTTCTGGAGGAGTGAGTGATTTGAAAGATGGAGTAATTGAACTTGTAAATCTCATCCGCGAAAGCGCAGTATCGATATTTGCCGATCCTCCTATAGAGGATGTGTCGCTTCTACTTTCGCCACTCCCGACGAATCCCAACTCGCCACTAACAGGCTCTACTCCAACAAACTCACGTTTCAGGATAGACCCTAAGGATGTGCCCCTACCGTCACCCAGGCGAGGAGAAGCATGGGAGGACTTCGCCTTCTGGCCTCCGTATGCAAACGCTCTTAGTGGCGTTCATTATCTTAGTCAATTTCTAATATTAATTGGAACGGCTGCTAGCGAGATAGCTGCAATGAGCCCGATATCAAGTGGTGGCAGTACCTATGATAAGCTGAAGCTTCTTGTCAGTGGTACACGAGAGCGATCAGTTCGTGCTGTATGCGCAGCTTGCAATAAAGACGCTGAGGGTGTGAAATATCTAGAGGACTGGACTAGGGACTCCGAGCGTAAGGACATGACTAAAATGCCCGGGCTATTCGTGGCATTCGAAAGTTGCAGTGCTCTCTGGATTGCATATAATAATTGTATATATCTGAGGCCATGACGAAACCCGGGATCGTCGATGTTTGTCACTTCCCCCACACCGCAAA